CTGCAATTCCTATCAGCTATCACAACAAAGTTTCCAGTTGTCAGCGTGGGCTGCCATAATAAGAGGCCATGCCTGGCTCAAAAAACAGAAACTTATTTTCCCTCAGTTCTGGAGCCTGGTAAGTCCAAGATCAAGGGGACAATACGGATGGGTTTTGGTGAGAGCTTTCTTCCTGTCTTAGATGTGAGGAAACAATCCAGAATGGGAAAAAAAAGTTGCATGAAGGGGGAAAAAAAAGCATCAAAATATGATAAGTATGTAGGAATGTAAACAAACTTTGACCATATAAAGCAGTAATGGTAACGTGGGGTTTAAATTATGCCAAATAAAATTCCTGCACAGTGCCATCTGTATCAATAAGGAGATAAATGGAATTAACATGTTTCTAAGGACCTTACCTTCTCTGGAATAAGGAAACAAGATTAACAGTAGACCATTATAAATCAATGATGTATCTTATCTGTGTTATAATAACTAAGATTATTACTGAAGAAAAGGAATAGTGCTTATAACTTCCAAACAAAGGGAGAAAATGGAATGATAAAAAATACTTTATCAATTAAAAAAAGAATAGAACACATAGGCTGGGAAAAAAAAAAGTCTGAGGCACATACAATAATGTTAAGATTTAAATTAAATACACAGTAATTACATTAAATCTAGAACTAAATGTTCTATTTCAAAATTTTCAGACTTGATTATAAAATACGTGCTATTTATATTAAAATACATGCCAACTTAAATGTAAGGATACAGTAAGGTTGAAAATAAAAGGAGAAAAAGTTAGACTGTGTAAACACCAATAAAAAAACTGTCTGACTGTATTAATATCAGAAAAAATAGACTTTAGGATGAAAGGTGTTATTAAAATAAGGACTGTCACTTAGTAATGGAAAAAGTTGAATTTTCTAGAAAGATAAAATAATTCTTAATTAGTATGTACTCCAAAATATGGCCAAAAGGCCTATCAGTCAAATTTATTTAAAATGTATTTATTTATTTTTATAAGTTTATTTATTTTGAGAGAGAGAGAGAGAGAGAGAGAGAGAAAGAGACCACAAGCAGATGAGAGGCAGAGAGAAGGAGAGACAGAATCTCAAGCAGGCTCTGGGCCATCGGCACAGAGCCTGATGTGGGGTTTGAACCCATGAACCGCAAGATCATGACCTGAGTTGAGACCAAGAGCCAGAGGCTTAACTGACTGACCCACCCAGTCGCCCCTATTTAAAATGTATTATATATCATATATCTGTATAATTAACGTATATATTTCTAAAGGACAAAACATGGAGATTATTTGGTGACAAACTATGCCAAAATAGGAGAGGATATTTAGTGTTTTATTCCTAGCTTTAATCCATGTCTTAACCTACTGAATCTATTTGATTAATTTGTGTGGCAAGTAAAAACACAACATTTTATTTTTTACTTTTTGTTAGTTAACATATTGTGCAATATTGGTTTCAGAAGTAGAATTCAGTGTTTCATCACTTATATACAACACCCAATACTCATCACAAGTGCCCTTCTTAATCCCCATCACCCATGTAGCCCATCTCCCTCCATCATCCCTCAGTTTGTTCTCTATTTTTAAGTCTCTTGTGGTTTGTTTCCCTTTATTCTGTCCCCACCCTTGTCATATGTTCAGCTGTTTTGTTTCTTAAATTCAACGAGTGAAATCACATGATATTTGTCTTTCTGTGATTGACCAATTTCTCTTAGCATAATACATTCTGGCGCCATACACATTGTTGCAAATGGCAAGATTTCTTTTTTTTTTTTTTTCTTTGAAGGCTGAGTAATATTCTATTGTATATGTGTACCACATCTTATCCTTTTGTCAGTCGATGGACATTTGGGCTCTCTCTGTAGTTTGCCTATTGTTGATAATGTTGCTATAAACATTGGGTGCGTGTACCCCTTCAAATTTGTATTTTTTGTATCCTTTGGGTAACTACCCTAATAGTACAATTGTTGGATTGTAGGGTAGTTCTAATTTTAGTTTCTGAGGAACCTCCATGCTGTTCTCCAGAGTGGCTGCACCAGTTTGCATTCCCACCAGCAGTGTAAGAGGGTTTTTTACGCTTTTTCCGCATCCTCACCAACACCTCTTGTTTTCTTGTGTTGTTCATTTTAGCCATTCTGACGGTGTGAGGTGGTATCTCAGTGTGGTTTTGATTTGTATTTCCCTGATGATGAGTGATGTGGAGCATCTTTTCGTGTGTCGGTTGGCCATCTGGATGTGTTCTTTGTAAAAGTGTCTATTCATGACTTCTGCCCATTTCTTAACTGGGTTGTTACTTTTTTGGGTGTTGAATTTGATAAGTTCTTTACAGATTTTGGATACTAACCCATTATCTGATATGCCGCTTGCAAATACCTTCTCCCATTCCATAAGCTGCCTTTTAGTTTTGTTGATTGTTTCCTTCACTGTGAAGAAGCTTTTTATCTTGATGAAGTCCCAGTAGTTCACGTTTGCTTTCATTTCCCTTGCCTTCGGTGACGGCAATGTGTCTAGTAAGAAGCTGCTGCAGCCGAGATCAGAAAGGTTCTCCTCTAGATTTCCTGTCTCACATTTAGGTCTTTCGTCCATTTCGAATTTATTGTTGTATCATATTTCATTCCTTAATCTACCCACCCATTTCACACTGTTATTCACCATCTTGGGGCAGGGACAAGCTCAAAGGCATCTTCAGAGTTGTAAGGAAGGTTGAAATTGGGTTGAAAGTATAGAAGCAAAGGGCAGGCTGCCCCAAGATGGGCCACTTTGGCATGCAGATTATGCCAAGCTGAAAACAATCAAGGCCCAAAAGACTCAGGCAGAAACTTTGACTTCCCTCCCCTACTAACAACTGACTAAAAGAATTTTGATAGAGGACCTGTTCCAGGAAGAAAGCTATTGCCATAGATAACTGCATTATAATATAAACTAGATATGATAGGGAAGAAGTCAGCAAATCCTCTTTAATCAACATTCTTTCTATGCCCTATTATTCCTGGGTGACTCAGCAAACATTTGTTTACCAAACATTTAGTCTTTTTCATCTTCTTGTGAATTGCATTCCTTCCCTTTGAAGTCCCAGGCCCCTACCCCTTTCTCCTTTGTTCAGGATTATGTGTATTCCTTATTTTCCTTGATTATCTGGAGTTTCAAGTCTGTGTGGATTCCCTGTGTGTACAAAATTCAATTTGATTTTCTCCTGTTAATCTGTCTCATGTCAGAAATTTGTCTCAAATATCAGCTAGAAGAATCTTAAAGTGTTAAGAGTAAAATTCTTCCTCCCCAACAGAAGCTATATTATAAATACCTTCCCTTGTTTAGTGTGATTTAAAACAACATGAAACCTACCGGAATCATAAGCTGAGACTCTTACAGTAATTAAGATAATTCCTTAAGAAATCATTTAAGTGGGGGTACCTGGGCGGCTCACTGATTGTCTAACTCTTATTTCAGTTCACAACATGATCTCATGGTTCGGGAGTTCGAACCCCACATTGAGCTCTGCACTGACTGTGTGTGTGCCTCCTTGAGATTCTCTCTCGATCTCCCTCTCTCTCTGTCTGTCACGTCTCTCTCTCTCTCTCAAAATAAATAAACTTAAAAAAAAAAAGAAATCATGTAGGTTTTCCTGTTAGTTTTGAAAGACATTTATTGCTATTTCCATTATACTTTTTTCCTCTAGAACAAGAAATAGTCATAGACATGGCAGTTTTTAGAATAACACCAAGATATTGAGTCTTCTTAGGAGATTGGCATATAATGTTATTCTTTCTGTGTAACCAGACTGATGTTTTTCTAGAGTAAAAATGTTAAAATATACCATGGTTTGATGTTAGTTTATATTGTAATTTCATTTATCACCGGTCATCTCAGTAACATAGCAAATGATTTAAAACATAAAGCCGTTTCCACCTTTCTGTACTAGCTAATGTACAAACACGTATATGTGTAATATTCTATGCAAGTACTTCACTCCCCCAATTAGTATGATAGTTTTAGTTTTAACTTTATTATTGAAGTTTGTAGAACATTAATTCACATTAACAACATATGTTCTATTGTGAATAATTGTAAGTTTATGTGATCCCTTATACTTTAACAGAAATTCTTTTGGTTTCTCTTTGTGTCTCTACATGGCGGGGAGATAGGGCTCCACCCTATCATGGCAGTCCCATGATATCACCTAAAACTACCTTCCAAAGACCCCATTTCCAAATACCTTCACAGCTGGGTGCATTAAAAAGGAGATAACGGGGTGGCACCCAACTGGCTCAGTCAATAGAGCATGTGACTCTTGATCTCCACATCAAGAGTTTGAGCCTCACACTGGGGTAGAGTTTACTTACAAAAAAAAGAGACAACAGGACCAAAATGGAATCACTTGTCAGGCCCACCTCAGCAAACTGAAATGAGTATCTAACCTAATTGCACTTCCTACCTTCTCCAGGAATATAATCTCAACTGGTCAGTCTGGAACTTCTTGGTCAGCCTGAGTGAAGTCATCTCCTGATGGACTCATTTTGTCCCCCAAAAGAAAGGACCTTGCCTGAAATAGTCTTTTTTTGTTTTTTGTTTTGTTTTGTTTTGTTTTGTTTATGTGTCCCTTGTCCTAAGCCCTATCTGCCTTTTAAAACCTTTTCTGTAGCTCTTTTTTGCTCCTTTCTATTTGCTAGATGGGATGCTGCCTGAGACATGAATCATTCATTAAAGCCAATTAGATTTAAAATTTATTCAGCTGAATTTTTGTTATATAACAGGAGTTAGGCCTTCAACATAGAAATTCCGAGGGACACAATTCAGTCCATAGAATCATTCGGCAAGGAGATATTCAAGGTACAACCCACTACAATAAACTGTCAGACCTTGTAAGCACTGAGTGCTAATTAAGCACTTTTTATCTCAGTACAATCTGTAGCTACTTAGCAAAGCAGCTTAGGGCCCAGTGCTGATGAATCAAAGTCAACTCAGACTGAATCATGCTAAAAAAGCTTACCTTTATTTTTGCCTGAGTATGCCTTCTTGTTGGTAAGGAAAGGAACCAGTTGACATTATGTGGCTAAATCTGGAATCCTCCACCATCACTGTTGAAAATACACCCTGGGGAGAGTAGCATCATCAATATGATTTAACAAAGATTTGAATAGTGTGTTCCATCATATCCTAATATTATTATTTCTACCGCATTTTCTCTAAGGAAAAAACTAAGACAATTTTTAATGTTATCTCATTTTAAGATTTCAAGTTTACATCATAAAAGCTCTTCCTTTCTGCTACCTTACACATCTGGGGTTTTTGTTTATTTATTTCTACTTTTTTTTACTTGACAAATTTAAACCTGCAAAAGCAGTACAATGAATCCAGTAAACTCTTCATTTCAGTTTATCAAAAAGATAACATGTTACCAAATTTGCTTTATTCCTGGGTGTGTGTAAACTTTTATACTTAGGATTTGTGCCAAAACATTTGAGAACAAGTTGCAGGAATTATGGACCCATCACTCCTAAAGACTTGAGCCTATATTGTTTGACCAAATACATTTACTTAATAAACATAACCCAGAGAATAAAAGGGAAATAATGGTTGGTATTCACCAAGGACAGATATGAAAGGGGCCATTTTTTTTTTATGAAGAATTTGCATAACAATTAAATTTCCCTTGTGACTTCAGGAAACTTGTAAATAAAAGAATTCCAAAGTGGGTTTAGGCCTGCTCCTTTAACCTGTTGTAGTCTGAGTAATGAGGAAAGTATTTGGATTTGGATTTGTGCTACAAGCTTCAACCCCCTGAGGAGACAGTGAGCTAACACAGGTGGAAAAGTTAGCAATTTATTGATTTGGTACATTCCAAACATAGTTTGGAGACCCCAAACTGGGATCATTCTTGTAAATGATTGTATTGGCTTCCTCTCAGCCATCAGGATTAACATGCTGCTGGGCCAGGGTTTGCCTTTTGATTCACAGATTAACAGCCCACAAATATCCTTTTGCCAAGCACCACATCATGCCTCTGGAACCAGTCATCTGCAAGCCTCAGGCTTGAGGCTCAGACCAGAAAACAAAACTCGCTGTCTGGAAACTAACTTTAAACCCAAATTCAAACACAAGTTGACTTTGGAAGGTTAAAATTCCCTCAGTGTAGTTTACTTATAGCTCCCAGTCTTTAGGTATAAAGAATTCATTCCACATGCCTCTCTTGCTTCTGCATTCATTTGTGTCTGTAAAAAGTTGTCTCACAAACTCAATTAGTACCCCTGAGCTTTAGCACACCCCCTTTCCTTGGTCACTCCCTATTGTCCATCGTTTCTTGACTGCTCCTATCATGGTGGACTGTTCCTAGAGAAAGGTGACACTGTCAAGGTCTTACCATAACCTGATATAAAGCTTATTATCCATGGTAAGCATCTCGTTAACTCATGCCACTTTTTTTTCCTCTCACCGGGACTAAACTTCGCTCTAATTAAGTTGGCATACATGTTTGTGGTACTGTTTTGAAAAGCAATGCTTTAAATTTGAATTTCAAAGTCTTTTTGGGGAAAAAAATGGAAAATATAGTCAGCTCTCATGTGGATCTCAAAATGGATGTACCAGATGTGCACTTCTGAATAAAAGTACCATACCTGAACATGAAATGTATGATGGTAGAGCATGATTAAGTTATGGGGGTGATGGGGAGTTCGTGGGGTCCAGGGCTGACGGCCAAGAAAGAATTCTTGAAGACATCTTTGGTGCAAAAAGATGATTTCATTAAAGCATGGGGACAGGATCCATGGGCAGGAAGTGCTGCATGGGGTCGTGACAGGCAACTCACTATATACCCTCAGGTTGGGAAGGGGTCAGGGATAGAATAAGTCTCCATAGAATTTTGGAAGCAAGGTTTCCAGGACCCTGAGGGGCTAGCTGTTGCTAGGGAGACACCATTTATTACCATTTAATAAAACCTCAGTCATAAGACCCTTCCGATGCATATCAGGGGACCATAAGCTTGCAGTATGATTGCCAGCATGTATCTTGGGGCAGTTGAGATAAAGGACGTTGACTTATAGGATCATCAAGGTTGGGATAATGTTAAACTAAGCTAAGGTTCTCTTTTGCCCCTAGCAAAATGTCATTATCGAGGCAGCTGAGTCCTAGAGGGAGGTCAATCTGCTGGTTTCAAGGACTTGTGGATGGGCTGTAGGCAGTAAGGGAATTTAATTTTTAATTTGCCTTAGTTTCCCACATTACCATGGCAAGCACTTAAACTCCTTTCCTTTGTTCTTGGGTAGCCAGGAGTGTCTGAGGACTATCACACATATTCCACCTTGGTGGTGGGGGTTGGGGGTGGGGTGCAGCCTGTATGTTGCCCTCAGCTTGCCCCAAGCTCCCTCATCAGAGCACACGTGGGCTTCTGGTTACTTCTGTCTAGTAAGGTCTCAACTACAGATATTTGACAGGCCTAATACTCATTTTAGTGGATGTAGAAGTGTGTGTGAGAAAGTCTGAAAATTATAAACCAGAGTTTTTCAGCCTCAGCACCTTAGACATTTGGGGCCAGATAGTTTCTTTTTTGTGTGGGGAGCATTGCTGTGAGTTGTAGGATACTTAGCAACCTCCCTGGCTCCTCTGCAACATTTTAATATGTGAAAACCAAAAATATCCTCTGGGGGACAAATTCACCCTGGTGGAGGACCCCTGCAGTAGACAGTTGGCTTTGGTTTCTTTTTCCCATGTGATTGGTGGAAAATAATTGTAGCAACTGTTGGTTTGTTTTAAAGTCATGTGTGTATGCTACAGATTCTCTTCCTAATTGCCGGGTCACCGAGAGTGGGTACTAGGTGTTATTTACTCCTGCATCACTAAAAGTGTCTAGCACAATCCTTACACGGTATGTTTGTCATTGATGTTGGTCTCTGGCCTTGCTGCTTCTGAGAACAGTAGAATTGGACTTCCCATCCCATATGCTGGTGCAGTTAAGAGTGGCCACATGACTCTTCTGGCCAATGAAATGGGAAGAGAAGTGATGCATGTCTTTCTAGGTGAAAACTTTAAAACCTGGGTGCACAATTTACCACATACTTTTGTTAGGAAGGGAGAATTTCCTCTGCCCTTCAAGGTCCTTCTAGTTGGACCAAGAATCAAATTGAGGTGAGGCAGATAAACAGGAGAAAGTCAAATTTGATGGTGTTTGTATGGGGAATCCACACACACATGAAATTCCAAAGACAGTGAGGCAACATGATGCTTATATGAGGTAAGAGAGGGGTAGATGTTTGAGGATACAAAGGGGACAAAGACCATTAGCAGGAAGATGAGAGGAGATGTTCAGAAAACAAAGCTTTCCCTGTTATGTAGCTAAATTTCTTAGGTAAAGGGGAATCTTTGTTAATAGGTTTCGTCCTGGTACAAACCGCCATTGAGTGGGAGGTAAAGAGCTTTTCTGAATCTGCCAGGTTTTGATTTCTTTTAACTCAAAATAACATTCATACCAAAGTGGCCCATCTTGGGGCAGCCTGCCTTTGGCACCAACATTTTCTTTCTGGCACAGTGACCATGAACATTCGCAATGGTGGCTGCTCCATCAGTTTGGGTCTCTGAGTAACTGCAATGAGCAGAATGTCTGCTTGCCTGTGCTGGACATTAGCAAGAGTCAATCCCATACTTTATCCTTACATATACGTGCTAGTTTTAATATCACAGACATTTGCATCCAGAACGCCTATGGGGGTGGTTTGATTCCTCTTCCCTTACCGTTTGAAAGGCTAGAGATCACTAATGATGAGCCTATGACACAGTATTGAGGTAGGAAAATACAGTAAAACCTTGCATCATGAGTAATTTGTTCTGCAAGTGTTCTGCAAGATGAGCAAACATTTCTAATAAATTTTAACTTGATAAATGAGCCACGTCTTGCAATAGAAGTTGTAGGTGATATGGAATGTCACATGATCACAGCTGAGCCAATGGTTCCTCTCTCTCTTTCCCTATGCAGGATTGTGGGTGCTTGACTCCCATGCTTGGATGCTCAGTATCAAACCACAGTGTTTGGCAGATATCAGTCATTTTTCAGAATGTTGGAAGTGTATTTTCTGTCACTTCAAAGCACCTACAGACAGTCCTTTGCTTTTCCATGTAAGAGTAAGCTTCACTTCCATACAAGGGAAGCTTTGCTTCATTCTAGGTCAGGCTGCCAGCAGATATAGAGCTCTTCTTTGGCTGCCTTATTGCCAGTTACATTAAATACAGTATATGCTAAGAGTTTATCACACATCTGTGTGAGCATATACGATGGCCCCAATGCAGAAAAAGATTCCATCGAGCCAAGAGAGAGCAGTGGTTCCATAAGTGATAGTGAAAGTTATCCTACACAATAACCTACCTCTCTCGTCTTCCTCACACAAGCCACGAAGGTTTTCAAAGGCAAGTGCAGGTTAATTTATTTTTTTATACTGTGTATTTTCTTTATTATTTTGTATGACATTACAGTATTATAGCCACTTTTATATGAATATTGTCAGGTTGTGGAACAACTCATCTGAGTTTCCATTATTTCTTATGGGGAAATTCGCTTCGATATACGAGTGCTTGGGATTACAAACATGTTTCCGGAACGAATTATGCTCACAAACCAGGCTTTTACTGTAGCTGCATCCCAGGTTCCTGCTCAGGTTTATCTATGAGTAAGCTGCAAACGGGTTAATATGCCATGAAAAATAAAAATTAATTTGTCATTATCTGCAATGATCATATATATATACATATTTAACCATTTAATTTAATTATTTGGTGGTTCTCAACATGGGACAACTTTCCCCATAAGGGACATTTGAGAATCTCTGGGGACATTTTTGGTTGACACATCTTTGTGAGAGGCGTTACTGGCATCTGATGGGTAGGGGCCACGGGTGTTGGTGTCGCTAAGTATCTGATAATGCACAGAACACCCCACCATGACAAAGAGTTATCTGGCTGCAAATGTCAGTAATGCAGAGATTCAGAAACCCTGTGATACAACAACCAGAAATAAAAATTAAGTATCCCTGAAATTACTGCGGTACACCAACACATTTGCTTTATAAATATTGATAGTTTGGGGGATTAAAGTACAATTAACTCCTTAT